CTCATTTGTACTCATGAAGATTCATTCGTTGCTGTAAATAATGCATATGGTATACTAAAAGAGGACCAACTCTAGCTTTTACAATCTCAATTAAACAACTTTGTCTGATAAAAGAAGCGGTCTCATTCCTAGCTGGGTCATAAGCCCTAAGGGTCTTGTTTGCATGCCTGTATTTATCTTTGCCAAGCTGCCCTGCAAGGATCTGAAAGCCAAGTGAACCAAGCTGACTACATTTTTTCTCTCTATGTGCCTACTCGCAAAGGCTGATGCTAGCACAGGCACAATTGTACTGAAGCAAAAAGCCCATCCCTGAACTTAATCTAAACTGCAATTGGATGATCTGTCCTTTTCTCAGTCCCACCTTCTAACCTTTCTAATCCAGAGAGCTCATCTCTCTTACACGTGGCTCTTACAAATGCCTGTGATTAATAATGACTGTGATTCATTAGCCTGTGCTGTTTGCGTTGTTTCCCCGGTGGGAGCATTTACTGTCTAGGGATAGCCCATGATTACTCTGCCTTGTGGAACAGTAAGATGCTTTCAATCTAATGCGCTGTCCATGTTTTAGCATAAAATAATATTAAGGCATCCACATAATGGAACTGTCTGAAGATTCATTTTATTAAGCAGTGAAAGAGAATGTGTGTGTGTGTTTGTATGTGCAAGGAAAACATCATCAGCAAATCTTTTTCATCAGAAATGTAATTTCAGTAGATGTTTCACTTAAAGACACAGCTATATGGAGGTGAAGTTCTTTGGATCTGAGGCTGAAAAATACTTTATAGCCAACATCTTATTTGCACAATTAGCTTACTCGAATCACACACGGCCTATTCAAAATAGGGGGGAAAAAAAAGGAAACAGAGGTCGAATTATTGTATGTATTCCATTTTGCACGTTTTTATTTTAAATGCAATCTACTTTCAAGTACAAAGCTGCAGTGCTCTTTAAAGATTACTATTTCAAGTTGCTTCACATACCTTAACAGAGCATGTAACCTTTTTGCATTATATGATCAACTTTTTGACAGTGCAGGGCCAGCACAGCTAATGGAATAATAGCCTGCAGGGTCCAGCTAAATGATATACGAATATAATCAACCTTTGTGATGACTATTCAAAAGTAATCCCTTTAGCTTTCAACTGCAACATATAATTCAACCAGGCGAGGCCATATGAAGAAAATCTCTGCAGACTCCACTGATACAATATGGCCTTCATATCCCCACAGTGTGTTTGCTGCTCACAGTGAGTTTTAAATTTAAGGTAATGGCTACTGTATATTCATGTGAGCATAGAACAATACCTTTGATTTGTTGGAGAAATGTAGCATTAGCTACCAAGGGTCCTATTCAGTAAACTTTGACACAACCCTTATATATGGTTTACTGCTTATGCTAAATGGAATATGCCTGATAAATATGCTTTGCATGCCCAAATTGTACAAATTCATTAATCTTTATATTCATAAAACCTCCTAGAACAACTGCCTTCCTTTCAAGTTAACCTAGTCAGCATGAGTGGCTAAACATGTGGGCCCAGACAACTCTTAAAACAGCCATTGCATCACTCTCGGCTTATCGAGACAGAAAAAATAGGAAAACCTTCCACAAGGCTGGGACATGCCTGTGTTGTTGCTGTCATATTATTTGCTCCTGCAGCTTTATTCCTACCTCATTACATCATACTACAGATTATGTAACTGAAAACAGCTGCATGACCTTTAAAAATGCAAGTAATTTTTTAATGACAATAATGGATCGTTGCTCATCACTTGCATTACGCTGGCATGATAATGTACCATATCCATCAAATCACAACTAAGGTATAAAGGGTATGGTGAAATTTTCTTTCTCTCTCTCCCTTCTGGGACAAAAATACAGGGTTAGGTAATCGTGACCCTGAATACGTGACATCCACTGTATCAAAGCAAAAGAGATGTAACAAAAACACTGTATTGCTTCAAATGACTTCTCTTGCTTATACAAAATAGTAAAAGTTCTCTCACATCAACAGCATCTGCAAATGTTTTGTTGCATGCGTACCTACCTAAATAAATATGTAAAAAACACGTTGCTGAGTTTTGAGGCATTGTATTTTAATATTTTATGTTACTTGAGCTACAGGGGATAAGCAGGGCAGGACATAGACTTTCTCCTGTTTGTATGCAATGTCACTTGTGCTCACAGCCATTAGGAATCCTTTGCACACTGCAGCAAGGAGTTCCATCAATGTGTCGACCATGCACAAGGAACTCTTACTCTGTCTCCAAGCCCACCAGCTGCTGTTTTTGTCATATCTTACTTCATTCTTTTTTTGGAAGAGGTGATGAAAAATGATTTCCGCATCACCTTCTGCATGTTACTCTCATTCTTGCTTTTCTTGTCGTCTCCTCAGAATTTTGCCTTTCTCTTTTTTCAAAGAATTTTCAGCTCACATCATCAGTTTGTGGAGCTTTTCAGTAGAGTTCTGGTTTTGAGTATTTTCTCATCTCATGAGCAACGCAGGCGTTGTCCATTTTCTTTATAAGCTTTTGAGATTACGTTGCCTATAATGTCCTGTCCTCTAAGTCGTTGATCATTGTAGCTTAAGTCTTTGTAGCTGTGGCTTTTATTATTTTCTGTGACTTCTCACTAATTATATTCTGAAAAGGACTTACGGTTCTGCTTAGCTGTTCTCCTAGGAACGTAATGAAATAACAAGGGTTTCAGAAGTATAGCAGTCTCTACATGGACACATGTAAACAGCAAAAACAACAGAGATGCCAATTCTGGCTGCACTAAAGATTTGGCCAGATAATTTTAATTCTGTTTTATCAACAGCACTGATAGTGTATCAAGAAAATCCCATTATGATTAATTATATCTACGTACTATTAATACATATTAATGTTTATCTCTGCATTTTTCCCAGCACAAAGAGGTAGAAGGAGAATGCTTGGTGGTGTGACATGTGGTGGTATACATGTATTACCATTATGAATATGGGATGTTTTTATTGTCCCCAAATAGCAGAAAACTGCAAAGAAAAAATTTATGTCTCAGTATTCCGTCAGTTATCCTTGATATGCTTCGTATTTGCTGAGAGGGTAGAACTGTTAATCAGGCAATAACAGTTTGGGGTCCAAGCGCAAAGGCAAAAGGCCGAAGGGTGAGTGAGAATAGCAATTTATGCTATAATTCCCCGTCTATCACGTGCACCTATCCACTGTTTGTATGTGTCCATTTATGGAAGGTGCATCACTGTTAGAGACGCACTTTCGTGTGTATTTCATTATGAATACATCTATCCTGTACACATGTAATCACATTTTTGGTTTAAGTTACCCACCACTCTTGCACCAGTCTTTCATGGTTGAGATACAGAGATCCTTGAATTCAGTTAGAGTTGGTTGGTTGGTTGATGAATTCGACGCAGTTGGATTGGATTTTGGTGTTTTGTTGGATTTTGTTTTCCACATATTACGCTGGCAAAAGTATTTCCACTGATGTACTTCAGGAGTGGTTTCAGAAAATGTTACCTAAATAACTACGTGGTTAAATACTGAGTGAACCTCTAAGCTATTGCCCTGGTACAAAATGAGATTTCGTTTGATAACTTTCGCTAATTCTCAGATGTTCTTCATACATGTATTTATCCCATTCTTATTTGCATACAAGTATGGGTGAAGTTCGAGTTAAAAATTATGCATAATAAAAGCCCATGATATGATGAAATAGAAACTTTGTTGAGTTTTGAGGCATAGTTTAAATCTGTTCCAAACTTTGCATTGAATGTTGCTTGTTATCTCCACTGCGACAGTGTAAGTATTTTGGAAATGAATTAATTTAGGCTGCTATGTAGGAACCACTGGCTGTTAAGGCAGAGTCCAGTTTTAGACACCACACTGCAGAAAGGTAGTGATAAATACAAAGGATCCAGATAAGGATAGGACAGAGGTTAGAAGGCAAATATTCAGGAGACTGCATTTGCTTATCCCTTAAAAAGAAAATAAATATATTGTTATTATTATTAGAGGAAGGAAAATAGTCCTTAAATCAATAATAAGGTGTTGTGAAAGGGAACAGCGTTTCTTTTTCCTTCACGTCTATCAAAAGTAGAACAAGAAGAGAGATCAGCTTTATTTGCAATAAATATTTCTCATCAGTATTAGGGAAGAAACTGAGCTATAACACTGTGAAGCACTGAAACAGAGAGATTCAAAATGTTGTGAAAGGGCCTTCATCCGTAGGCTTTCTTGAACAAATTCGATGAATATGTGTCAGTTATGGACTAGATATACGTGCACTTTCTTTGTTTCAGGATGTGAACCCATCAGTAGTTCCCCAAACAGGAACCAGTCCCCCTGGGACGGCGTGGCTGTAACTAAGCAGAGGGAGGCGTGTTGCTGGGGGTCTCTGGGAACAAGGCAGAAAGCTCAGCCCAGGGGTGGGAGTTCGGTGCAGAAATGGAGCAAGGGCTGAGGATCACAGGCCGTGGGATCAAGGGAAGCATCTGGCTGGCAGTAATGGTGGAGTCAAGCAGTTGCCTTGCAGCCAGCTGCTGTTTTGACCACGTCCCATTAGGAGTACACTGCTTAGATATGGCAGCCTTTCTTATCCAAACTCCTCACCCTGTTCTGCCTTCTGCACTGTTCACTTTTGCCCTAGACAGTCCTCTGGCTGCCGTGCCACCTTTCAGTGCTGTCCTTGATGTCACCCCCAGATACATCTTGGTTGTTGGCTCTCCAGGTGTTCCCACCTGGACGTGTTCCACAAAACCAGCCCTTCTCTGAAAGCCAATGCTCTGGAGTGCCGGAAGAAAAGAAGTTCCCATCAGTTATGCAATTCAAAGTCTGTATTTTACGTGGCTCTCCTCACTTGCTGTCTAGGATTACCCTCTCCTGTGACTTTGTACTCAGTTACATATTTTTGAAATAAACTTTCTAAGCACCTACTGTTAATAGGAATGTTGTGAGCCTGAAACACTAGCATAGTTTCGTTTCTTTGTTTTTAATAACAGAGCTCGATACAGAAACAAGCCCATGTGAGCCTCCTCCAGAAACTAGCCCCGGTGAATCTCTTCCAGAGACCCAAATTCCAGATCATTCCTGGTACAGTATTTGCTCTTAATCCATGTTCTTTTTGACAATATCGTGTTTTTTCACAAAATGTCATTGGTACCAACATTTAACTGGATTTTGGCAGTAACTGCACATCAACTGTTGTACTGTGACTAAGTAACAATATTTTTCCTGCTTGTAAGTAAACAAATTCGTGTTTCCTCCACTTTGTTTTTCTTATTTTTTACTGTTTTCCCTGGTTTTAGAATTCAATTGCTTTTGATCATGTAGTTGCTTTTAATTTGCAGAAATAAGTCTTTGAGACAGAAGAAAATCTGTTAACTAGATGCTGAAGTCAGATATAAAATAGGTAGGTATCAAGAAGCATGCATAAACTTACGACACTTTCTCTTTGTTATTTCTTGTTTTTTATTGTAGAAAACATCTGCTTACCTACAGCGAAGCTGATAGATGAACGTCGTGAGTTCAGGAAGATCTCTGGAAACTCGGGCAACAAAGTAAGAACATTGGTGGAAGTTTTGTTGTTTAAGTAAGAGCACGTTGTATAAATACATGTTAGCTCTAAGTCCCTAAACGACCAATGTCATATGTGTGGCTCCGTGTCTATATGAAAAATAGCTACTGTCACTGAAATAAACGCGAAAGGAAAGAGTAACGTAGAGCAGTGTGCTTATTGTTTGTGTCACTTACTGTCTTTCAGAGTGTTAAGATACCAGGCATCCTATATGCCTGAGAACCCAAGGTTCTCAGTATGCCGGAAGATCACTTTCTAGATGTCTGGATATCTTCTTTTAATCACAAATTATTGCCCCATTCAGATGAAATAGACTCGAACCTTGATGCCTTATCAGTGGAGCTTCCCATAATTTTTAGCATCTGTGCTTAACGATTGTGGCTCAACCATGACCTGAGTGGAATAGGCAACAGGTTCCACTAGTGACCCACGGAAGTCTGACTCCCATGCTCTTCACAGGTGTCAGAGGTATTTCTCAGCTGCTGTCACTGTTAACCACAAGAGCAGTGAAGGGACAGAAGGTGGTGGCTATTGCCTTGCAAAGTTCGTGGCAAAGCAGACTTTGGAACCTGCAGATTTTATTTAGGAAAACTGGTTCAAGGTTTTGTAATTTCACATATTAGAAAACCTGTTCTTTGAAACTTGATAAACACGAATAATTGACCTCTCCTGTCTTTAAACAGAGGTTTCCAGAGTCAGAGTTTGAAGCAAGCTCCATTGGATCTGTAGTCAGTTTCTGTGATGGTCTTTAAGTAAGCAATAGCTTTTGCCATAGTAATAACTCAATTCATTGGTTTTCTTCAGCGTTGCAATCTGAGTAACTGATTGACATGTGACAAAAGGGTTTTGCCTCTAAAGGAGTGGGGAAAAATATACCATTATCTAGCTCACATTTGACCATTTTTGATCGATGGAAGCATAAATACCTGATTCTAATTTTATTCTTTTACTTAGAGGTCTTCATTGACTAAATACCAGGCTTATTACCAGTTTTCATTTAGAATGTTTTCAGAAGGCTGAGAATTTGTATAGGAATTTTCCTACATACCTACGCACATGTATAAACATACGAATATGCTTAGTCAGTGTTTAAAAAACTGAAAGAGTTGAGGCAAGGAAGGAAAACAGGACCATGAAATAAACATAAACAGTAGCAGTATACAGTTTAGTCATTATATTTTAATCCTATTCATACAAAAAAAAAAAAAAACAGAAAAAAAAAGAACCCACACAGAGACTGGAAATAACATCTGAGAGTCACATTAATCTGTAAACTTTTCTAGTCATAAAAGGGCTGCTTTAAGAGGCTACTAATTTTAGAAATTAGTAATTTCTTTCATGAGAAAGTTGCTAGAAAAAAATGAGGTATGTGAATTTATCATTGATAGTGGAAAAAACATACATGTAAATTCTCTTAAGAAAAGTTGACATTCTAGAAAAGCTGCTTATCAGTTTTTCAAGGACAAGTTTCTAAATTCTTATGTTTCAGACCTCATGCACATTTTTACAACTGAACGTTGTTTGTACGTGTCCCAGACACTTGTTATGCAGCTCAAACAGCATCTAATCGTCACTGAACTTCTCTAATCTCAACTCGTTGCTCAGTGATAACTTGTATACACTTGTGAGGAAATGGTCACAGAATTCATCCTCTAAATTCTAAAGCATTAGCTCTCCCATACTTCATAAGAAGTGCTGTTAGTCGTAAAGTTTTTAATTAAAGTAAGGGGACATCTACCATCCTGTAGTGATGCAACGGCAAGCTTGTTCTCCTGAGCCAGGATGCTCCAGCAGAAATGTTTATTGAGCTGTATAACCCTGCTCAGGAACCCTTCCCAGGAACTTTGTCTGACAAGTAGCTGTCTGGGCAGCGCGTGGCCATTCTGCTCCTTGCAGACTGAATCGAAACAAAGACTTGCCAAACGTATTGTAGCAGATCAGTCTCTGAACTGTTCTGAAGCGGTAATGTTGATGCGTTTGAAATCCGTCTAATGAGGTATGGTTTCTGAGACCTGGAAATGAAGGCTGCTTTTGGATTTGGATTTTGGTAGGTTTCACTGTGCGTGTATCTGATGGCATTGGCTAGTGATTCCTAGCAGAGGGAAAGGTTGTCCTCAGGAAGGATTGTGTTAATAATTATGAAAAGCGTGTTTTCTAACCATTAATAAGGTATGTCTTGAAGTATTCTTTTTCTAAAACAGTGTCTTGTTTGATAGTGTATCTCTATAATACCTCTATGTTTTTCACACTTATGCCCCTGGGTGAATAGAATTTATGTACTGCTTCTTGAAGGCAAATAAAACATGTTAATGAATATTTCCATGTCTGAGTCCTCTTTTGACACAGATGTGTCAGGCAGCCTTGAGACTAGAGCAGTTTCCAGGCACGGCTGATCCGGGTGAGACCTAAGCACAGCAAGTCCCTACCTGAAGACTCTGGTAGGTGGTGTGAGTGTGCAGCCCTGGAAGAATCGCTCCGTTCTTTGTAGTCGGACAGAGGGGAAAAAGTGTGAAGTTCTAGCAGCCATCCAGTCTCCATGACAGCTCTGTAGCTGGGCCATCTGCAGTATGGGGAGACAGAAAGACAGCAAAAAACAGATCTTCCGCAGCATGTGGAAGACCCAGGATCTGGCCTGGGGACTTGCCGCTCTTCGGAGGAGAGCAACAACAGCTCCTGGCTCCTGCTCAGCTTTAAACTGAGAGGTAGGCCTTGTCCCTGGGAGGTAGCTTCTTGAAATACCAGCCTTCATGACTGAACAATCTCATATGAAGAGGTACAGCACCTCTGAAAGGCTGCTACCCCCAGCACTGACCTATTCTGTCGCAGAGCATTGCAGCCCCATCTTCCTGAGGGACTTGAGGACGCATTGCTCCATCTGGCCGCAGGATCTCTGTTGGCAATTGGATTACTTGAATCTGGACTTAGCTACGTTTCTAAAAACATCCTGCAGGAGCTCTCCCCAAAGCACAGTGTCTGCTGTTATTTTCTCCCGTTCTCTTTCCTAAGAGCTCTCTGCCTCCCAGCTCTTCGGCACGGCTGAATCAGGAAATCAGCTGCTCTCTTTCCACACGACATCACTGTGTGCTCTCTGGGCAGGTCAGCTGGTGCCGTGCTCACAGTGCAGATGAAAAGTGTTTGTGATAAGGGAAGTTCAGGATCACCTGACTTCTGACTCCTGCTCTATCACAACAGCCCCTTCAACTTTAACGTTCTGAACTGCAGAGAGCTTTTACATCCACCAAGCTACCATGCTCTCAGTGGAGCTCTGTATTAGATATTTGATGAATGAGAGCTTTTGCATTTACATCGCCCCTTCCAGCCTCTGTTGTGGCAGAGCACTGTCACCAGAGCATTTGCATTTCGCACTGCGTTTGGCAGAAACGGTTGAACAACTGCCTGAGATGGGGACGGTCGTGCAGAAAGATGCCAGTATTTATGGCACCTTGAATCCTTCCTGTCTTTCTGAAATGCAGCACTAACAGCAGCATCCAGCTGCTGGCTGCTGTAGGTGCTGCTGGTTGTAGCCACTCGCCTGATTCGGTTCGTAGGTTTTTTCCTCTTTCTTCCTGCGCTTAGAATCACAGGACTGTGGAACCTGCCTAGAGAATTGCTTTCGAATCCATCTCTGCCAAAGGAGATAAAAACTAAGCTGAGAGTGTGTCTGAAATAAAAGAATAGGAAGCTAAACAAACATATTTGCAAAAAGCATGCTTTCTTTAGTCACCGCCTGCGTTCTTCCCAAGTCCTTCATCCTGCTGTAGGGAGCTGCTGTGTTTCCATCAGTGAGACGATCCGTTTCCCCCGAAAGCTGCTGGGTTTAATCTCACCATCAGATGATGTGATTCATTTCTGCAGTCCCTGTTGCACATTTCTTAATATCAGACAGGAGTGAAATATCTTCAGGACTGGGAGTGGGAGCTGAGTTGACTCTTTGTTTTCAAAGGAAAAAGATGCTGGAAATATGTCGTGGTCTTCATCAGCTGGGGGAGCAGTGAAAGCAAGGGCAGGCTCCTGAGCTGCATGCAATGAGCCTGTCAGGACTGAAGTGGGCTTCCACCCCAAAGTGACAGCCGTGGCAGGGTGGAAGGGGCCTGGACTCACTGCATGCCGTGTTCCCCGTCACAAATTCAGCCTCCCTGTCACAGATGTTTGTATTCAGGGATTCTGAATTTCTCCCTCTCAGTTATATTCGACACCTACAGCATGCAAGTATTCATAAGCGTTCTGTGAGCCAAGTAAGTTTGTTTTTAGTTTAAAGTGGTTCTGCCATCTCTGGCTGTCCTTTTGCATCCCTGCATAGCGATCACCTATTTCTGGACCAAGTCCCTCCCACACTTTTTTTCTGTTTTGTCGTGGCTGGTCAGGAGCCCAATCCTCTCTTCACACTTACTCACATCTGCTACTGCTGCATTTAAAAAAAGACGTTTGGGCTGTTGTGTTGCTAGGAAAGGTGAAACTGTTCCATACTGCTGAGAAGGGACACAACTCGCTGGCTGCATGCATATGGGAGGTGGACCTGCTCTGTTTAGCTGTGCTGATTTTCCTAGCTGTTTGCCCACTGGCTTTCAGTTGTAGAAAGCCTTTGGGGATGAATTTGCTCTGCATTAAGTGGGATTTCGGTCTACCTGCATATCTTTGTATCCTTCCTTCGCTGTAATCTCGCATGGTGCTGAATGAAGACTTGGTAGAGCTGAGAAGATCATCTGTGCTGAGCTACTTGTAATTAAGCTTTGCTGCAGGCAACTGATTAGTACAAGTTACATTATGCCCTCAGAAAAATGAAGGCACGGAGCCCAGGATGCCATCGATCCCTGTATAGCAGGGTGCAGCTGAACGCCTGCAGGTTCTGCCCTTCAGAAACCAGGACCTTCACCGCCAGGTCTGCTTAAGGGGCACGCTCACAGAGCTGAATATCAGCCATAAACCAGTGATGCTCTCATCCAAGATCATGCACAACTGCCTCCCCATTAACTGGAGGGCACCCTGATGTCTCTTTAATAGGGTTTAGCGTTATTTATAGCAATTTACAGGTGCGCTGCTGAAAGACCAAACCGTAAATCACCTCAAATGCTGTTCTGTGATGAAG